ACTAATTTAGTCAGTGATTTTCTATGTGCAGTAATCATAGTCCGTTGTTACCCGCTGTGAAGGTTTACTATCATGCCCATTCAGAGTGCTTTGCCGGAACTTGCTCTGTCCAAGAATGGCGCAAGGTATCTACTTAAAAGAAATGCCAGTGCAGAAGCACTGTTAAGAAAACAGTCTTTCCTGATTGATAAAGCAAAAGCAAAGCGGGAAAAATTCTTTGACCAAGAAAGAGCGATGCTCCTGCAGCACCAGGCCAAGCAAAAAGTTCAGACCACACAGCTCTGTAGACTTTCCACTAATCCCTTAACAAAAATTGCGGAAACTGAAGTAGAGAAAAAATGGGGAGTGGACAGTGATATAATTCAATCTACAAAGCTGCGAGGAAATCAAGGATTTTCTTTAAACAACAAGCTATCTTTTGCTTCGCCTAAACACTTCGTTTCCGTCTCCTACAATCTGAGCGGTGACCAACATTTGTCAAAGATTCTGCGACCTGAGCCAGCTGACGAGTCTGGTAGCATGAGGCGTTTGAAAGAATTCATCTGCGTGCTTCCTCCCCTTCAATCACGTCCGCATAAATTCTCGAGAAACTGAGCCGACGCAGTTTCGAACTCGGTGCGGATAGGGAGAAGGAATCAGAGCTCATAAAAGAGACTAAATGAAACTCGCCTTCGAGTGAATCGAAGGGAAACTAAACAAACTTAACCTAGCAATCAAACATGCAACGACGTGGAATCGAGATGGCCAGAAAAGAATGTTTTATATTACATGGCTATAATTTAATGTATTATAATTATATTTATCTCGTATAACAGTCCCCAACAACTACATTGCAAATGGTGTTTTAAAATCAAGTGCATCAAATTCCACTTTTAACCCTTTGACTGCCAGAGTGTTTGATAGAGTTTTGTAAGGTGGTTCTAACTTTTGAGTCTGCGGACATAATCCTATGATGTGACCATTCAAATGAAAGCTCTCTTCCTGTACTTTCACATGATGCTATTTGTTTGTCAAAATTTTGGAAGATGAAATTTGGAAATTTGGTCGAAATCTGCCTTTGGCCACATTTGGCAGTGAAAGGGTTAAAAAGTACTGACAAATAGTGACCCACCACTGGTTTCGTCAAGAAATGACGTCTGAGGAACGTGCTCAGAAATTCCATACTGATGACGTGTCACTAACAAAATCTGGTTAGTGCTTCTGATTGGTTGGAAATTTGCTTCATCCAATCAGAGGCCATGGAGTTGTTACTGGCTAACTTTTCAGGAAAGGAAGAAATTTTATCTGTATAAAGAGTAGTATAGGTGAAGCTGAGAGCGAAATTAGCCGTGGATATTTCCCAAAATGTTAGTAGGCTTTTAGTGTCAGTAACTCTGCCAGGATTGTTCATGTCTAAATTGAATCAAAGGGAAACAATCAACGTGTTTATGCTACAATTAAAGATGAGTATCTTTTTTCCCTTTCCTCTTTGCACATACCCTCTGCGGTTTACCGAGGAATGCCCTGCAGTCTAGCTCGTATAGTACAGGCCGGTGTCGCTTACATTCTCCACTTTAGAAATGCACATGTCATATGAATTCTGGTTGGAACCTCGATTTAACGAACCTCTATATAACGAAGTCGTCGGTATAACGAACGATTTTCTTCGGCCCGGCCAGAATTACAGTAAAATGTATGGAACAGTACCTCGATTTAAAGATATCCATGTTATAACGAACACAATCCAGAAGGGCAATCATAAAATATACCTCGACATAACGAATAAATGTCAGCATGTGATAAAAGATGAATGCCAAACAGGCCAAAGGATAAAATTTTTGTGTACAGTAGTAGTTGCCTTGAGTACCGGCATGACCTTCCTTCTCCGTGCTAAGAATAGACTACATGAACAGCGAAGGGAACGTTAAAGCTGGGACCACTGTTTTTGCTAGTCCGCTTTCCATTTCTCTCAGTTTTACCTTCCTAAAGTCGTTTTTATATATATAGTCCGTAGTCTGCGTTTTATACCTAGTCCGTGTTTTATACGCAGTCCGGAGTCTGCATGTTATACCTAGTCCGCATTTTATACCCAGTCCGCAGTCCGTGGTCCGCAGTCCGCACTCCGTGTTTTATACGGACCGGATTATTGCCAGCCGACAGTTTACTTTTACTTTAATACCTCATGTTCTCGGTCTGTTTGACAGAACACGACCAGTCAAACCCCGTTAATACTGACGGACACTGAAGGGGCCATACAAAGTGTAAGCGGGCCATGCTCTCAAAAAGACACCTTTTATTGGAACAAAGTACAAAAGAAATAAAAGAGGACATTGGCGTTATCAAATTAAACATCTCCAATCGGGAACCCAACGAGAATATAGTTCAAAACCACTTAAACATAGCATTGTTAAACGTATTTTAGTATTTAAACGGTAGATATAGGCATATTTTTATCCCCTAAAAATTTTTCATCTGTTCGGATTTCCTAGCTGAAAGTCTAGTGATCCGAAAATTATAGGGATCAAAACTTACCTTTTCGAAAAATTCAGCCAGAAAAGAGGCTCCCGAAAATTCTAGGTGACCTTTTTAGGGTAAAAATCCGTTAAAAATGGGCAATTATACCATTTTTTAGATGTTCGAAAATCCTAGGAGAGGCAGGCAAGCAAGAAATTTTACAACAAATGTTTCGAAACTTGTAGATCTCAAATCGTCTTCCGAACAGATATTCTTCCGAAAATTGTCGTTGGGTGCCCCTGAATCTTCACAAAGCCTTGTTTTCGCAGACTAAATCCACGGAACCACTAAAAACTTCGCTCATCTATATATTACTTATTTTTCAAAACCGTTCTCTACATAAGTCGTTTAAAGCCAGAATAGTCTAAAATTGTCCCTGAGAACACAATTTAAACAGAAGTGTCAACATTAGCGAGGTCGACTTTCTGTGAGAATCTGTTGACTGGGCAAGAAAGTGGACGGATTATACCTTTGCAGCTCTCAAAAAAAAATAGGCACTAAAACTTTACGCAACAGGTCGCTTTCCTGATCGAAGGCTGTGGGATGGATGCATGTCACAAAACAAGCACGAACCCACATTTTATGCAAATAATCACTATTCAGGCTGCCCACCTTCCAAACAGAAGTATTCCAGAAAAAGAAAAGGTAAAAGCCGACCGAAAATTCTTCATTTTCTAGGAAAAATGTCATTACTGAAAAAAAAAGCCCTAGTTCCCTGCGACTTTTGCCCTCGCTATTTTCGGTTCGGTTTAAAGAGCAACTACGTTGTTAATGGCTTTAAGTCAGGGACGCGTAACGCAAGTTGTTCTAATTCTCTTAGTTTGTCTACAGCTTTCTACGCTCATTCATGTACTTTTCAGAAAGAAAGAAAGAATAAAGAAAACTCTGTTATTTACCCTCGGTAGTATTTATAGCACTAGTGCCAGCGGGGCCGAGCAAATGACAGTAATGAGTAAAGGCTTGCTTCTAAATTCAAAATATATTAAAATGGGTCGCGAGGAGGGGTGTTTTCAAGCTTTACTCACACAACTACTTCTTGTAATTGTTTGCCATGAGTTAATCATTTGGCGGTTAACCATTTACGGTTCTGCGATGAACTGAAATGTCGGTGCAGTATGCCATGTCAAGCCGAGTCGGTAATTAAGTTACTAAAGTCCAAAGCGACGAGCCCCTAAGCTATTCTTACGGTCGCAAAGCCGTAAATGAATAACCGTTAAACCGCATGGCAAACATTTACAAGAGGTAGCTGTGTGAGTAAAGCTTGAAAACCCCCTCCTCGCGACCCATTTTAATATGTTTTGAATTTAGAAGCAAGCCTTCACTCATTACTGTCATTTGCATGGACCCTCACTCGCCCAACAAATTATTTGCGACAAAAAATTGTTTTCTCATACTCGGAGATGAGTTTCTTTTTCTTAATCATTTCTTTATTTTTGTTTTTGTTTTTGTTTTTTGTTTTTTTGTTATTTTATCTTATTTTGTTATTAATAATTTTTACAAAAACTATGTTATTATTTTCATTTTATTTAATTAATTTTTTTTTTTCATGAAAATTGCTTTTATTTTTTCATGTTCCGGGATGTTCCGGAATGTTCCGGAATGTTCCATGTTCCGGGGGCGCTTTCCATTTACGAAAAAAACCCGGAAATTTCGGTGGTAGTAAAAGTGGAATTTCCGATTGGTAAAAAGTTGTTCCATTTGGTCGTAAACCCCGGTACGTGGCCGGGTGCCCGACCGTGGACCTGGAACTGGTACAAACTACAAGAAACGTCAATGGAACACGACATTCCGTTCGGAAATTCCAACCGGGAAAACGGGACCACCTTTTTAGATTTTCCACTTTTTCTGGGAATTTTCCAGTGGGACGAACCGACGAAACGTGTTCCATTTACCGCCGAACCGGAAATTCCGGAAATTTTGACTAAATGGAAAGCGCCCCGGGTTTTATCCACGCCCACCTGATTACTGTCAATTACACTGATGTTTTCTTTCGGCCTGGAGCTGCAGCTGTAGTTTTTCTACAATGAAAGCCCTCCGCCCGATCTGAGCGTGTTGAATGCGTGATCATGACCCGGGCAGATTACAGCCTCTTAAAAGATGTTTTGTACTTTAGTCATTTAGAGATTATAGTCGCCATTGTTCGTTTATCAAAAGTGACACGCAAAGATCAAAAGAAATCAACTGTAGTCCTTGAATTTACTGTTTCGGGTTCAAATTAAGCAATTCTGCTACATATTCCGGTTAAAAATAGATGACTAAACTATTTATGAAAAGCGAGGGATTATTTGTGTTAGTTGACTCGCCTTGTTACGCACTCGGTTTTGCTTACGTAGGTGGACTAAAAAACAAACAAATTTGGCTCATATATTTGCTTATGCAAAGTCAATGCCTTGTTTATGTATATATAAGAACGGTTTAGCTGCACTTGGGAGAAAAGGAACGCGGCGAAAGACTGGTTGTCCGTGGGTAAAGCGTTTTCCGCTGCTTAAGTTTAGAAAGTTTTCAATATGTCCGCTTACAACGGTGTGCCCGAAATCACGTTATCAAAGAAGTGCGCTAAATATTTACTGACAAGAAATGCCGGCGAGAAAGCACTGTTCAGAAAAGAGTCTTTTCTGATAGAAAAAGCAAAAACAAAGCAGGAAAAAGCGTTTCGGAGAGAAAGAGAACTGCTTATACATCGCGAGTTTAGAAACCGAGAACTGATTCAAGCAACACAGCTGTATGGAAGAACAAGCGTCACATTAAAAAAGATTTCAAGATCCAATAAAGGAGACAGTGATTGGGAGGTAAAGAGTGATACTTCGTACGCAAGGCAGCGAAGAAGACCAGGAGTTTTGTTCAACAAAAAAGTATCAGTGGCTTCATCGCGGCACTCTACTTTTTCCAACTCCACGAATCAGGGTGATGAGCGAGGGATTGAGGTGCCTCGCACCTCGGGACGTTTCAGATCATTGAGCTGTGTACTTCCTCCGATTTAGGCAATTCCATGAACTTTATGAAGAAAGTGAAAGATTCTAGGAGATTCACGAGAAAGCTACAGTGTAAGAACTAACTGCTCCAGCTCAATTTGAAGGAGAAGATAACTCACGCGCCTCCCCCCAAAAAACATTGAGTTTCAGTACGATGGTACTATTCTATGGTAGCCTTCATTTACATCTTGATTTCGGTTTAAGCGAGGGTAGCGTTCAAAGGGCAATAATTGATATTCGCTGAATGGTAACTTAAGCAAGGACGTACTTCAACAATCAAGTAACAAGTTTCCATAACTTTGCCGATTCCAAAGAACCATTTTTGTGATATCAACGTCACTTAGCTTTACGCAACACACGAAAAGTTTAAATGTAACGTGGGTTTAGAAGCAAGTACATGTATCATCTTATGGAAGTCTTTTGTTGACTTTACTTTCGTTGTTGAATCTTTTTTAGATGACTTCATCACGCCAGTGTTTGGTCATGTTACTTCCAGTAATGATTAAGAGATAACTGATATGTAGCTGGTTCAGATGCATTCAGTTGGTTAAACTAGTCAAAATTCATGGGTTGATTGCCATGACGAATTAAGAATTGTGGGATGAATTGCTTACACTTAATAAAACGATCACGGAAATGTTTTGTTTACTTTTCTTCATTTCTCGTATCGCACAGTTTAGAGATAACGATATCACTTAGTGACACTTTTTTTTAAATGAAATAGCTTCCCAAAAGGTCGGATTTGGTTTAAAAAATCGGCAACTTTGCTTGTATTTAAGAATATGATTTTAGGTTGAACCGTTTATTCAGAACTTACAGAAAACCAAGACAAGAAGTCACGGCTGTTTTTGTTTGCGCTACGTGAGGCTGATGACGTTACAATAGAGTCCTTTAGCATGGAAAAACGCAAACTGCAAACTGCAGTTTTGCATTTTCACGTTGCCGGGATTTCAAATTTTAGCAAGGCGTTCATTGTTTAGTGCTGCCATGTTGTTTTTTTGTCGAAGTCGAAGTACATCGATTTTATCGCCCAAAAAACAATGATCATTCATTTATTCGAGTTCAATAATCTAACAAGCACATCGCAGACGGATAAAGGAAGCTTCTTCGTGCCTTTTAACGTGATGCACAATTTTAATTTTTGTGGCAAAAAACCGTACCGTAAGTCACTTACCGCTGGACGCCCTTCCTGCCGTTCAAACGTGAACTTCAAACTGCAAACGCGACCGCGAGACCGTGGTCACGTGACATTCTAAGGTTTGCGGTTTGCAGTTTTCCATGAAAAACCTGATGCTAAAGGTCTCTTATATAGTGCTTCCATCGCATCGGAAAGCGAGGTACTTGATACGTCCGCATACCAATGACAGTGACAAATTGACGAATGGTTTTTCCGATAATATATCTTGATATCAATCAATGAACTTTACATGTTTGGTTCAGCGCTATAAAATAACATCCTCGTGCCCTCTCCTCTAAGACGTTTGAAAGTACACACTGGTGTACTGTAGGAACATTTCTTTTTTGAAGGGAAGTGGGTCATTTCTACACCAGGATGGTGAACACTTGAATTCTTACCGCATTCAGTTTTACGTGACCTATGATCAAAGCGACTCGTAGCGCTTGACTACTCGAAGGTTTGTCATTTTCCAATCGGAGCAGGGATCAAGGGTAATATTCTACCCACGAGACTACTCTTTTCGCGGGGGTCTCAGTTACTTTTCCTCCTTGTAAACAGGCTCTGTAAACGGTTTTCGCCGCGCCTTCACGTTCTCAATCCCGGAATAATGTCGTACACATTTTTAAATTTTTACCATGACTGACGACCTTAAGATAATAGCGAGACTGAAAAAAATTAGGAAGGATACGTCGGATACATGTTTTGAGATTAACATAACTTTTCTGCTGAATTTCTTAGAACGTCTCTATGTTTAATAGCTAGGATAGGAAAAAGATTGTTTCCCTCCAGCCTCCAGGTTTTGTTCAACTGGAATCTAAAAAATGATGGGTTGGTTAATGTAATTTTCCCTGAAAACCCTCTAGTTGCTTTGTGATTTTTATTTTTTTTTTTACGTATTTGTTTGGACGTGCGTTTACCTCGCCTGGAGTCATGTCAACTGGCTCTTTCTTTTTCTAAGGTATTTTTTGTTTGTGAGTGTACAGTCTATATTATGAAACAAGTTTCGCTTTTTCTGTAAGTTGTTTTGTGCTGGCTAAAGAAGCCATGGCACTCCACTATTTAGTAACATTCGTCACCTTTTTATAAAATCATTGAAAATAAAATGTGCGGTAGCATTGTTAAGGATTTGAACCCAGGGATTAAAAGAGTAGATTTAATCCGGACAACTTGTGAGGAATTCAGTATCAAGTAATTTATTTTTAGTGCTTCCTGTTCCTGTTTGTAATGCAGTAAAAAGTTCTTCCAACTGTTGACGTATTTAATATGTTACCGACGTAACTTAAACCACTTAACAAACTAATTTAGTCAGTGATTTTCTATGTGCAGTAATCATAGTCCGTTGTTACCCGCTGTGAAGGTTTACTATCATGCCCATTCAGAGTGCTTTGCCGGAACTTGCTCTGTCCAAGAATGGCGCAAGGTATCTACTGAAAAGAAATGCCAGTGCAGAAGCACTGTTAAGAAAACAGTCTTTCCTGATTGATAAAGCAAAAGCAAAGCGGGAAAAATTCTTTGACCAAGAAAGAGCGATGTTCCTGCAGAACCAGGCCAAGCGAAAACTTCAGACCACACAGCTCTGTAGACTTTCCACTAATCCCTTAACAAAAATTGCGGAAACTGAAGTAGAGAAAAAATGGGGAGTGGACAGTGATATAATTCTATATACAAAGCTGCGAGGAAACCAAGGATTTTCTTTAAACAACAAGCTATCTTTTGCTTCACCTAAACACTTCGTTTCCGTCTCCCACAATCTGAGCGGTGACCAACATTTGTCAAAGATTCTGCGACCTGAGCCAACTGACGAGTCTGGCAGCATGAGGCGTTTGAAAGAATTCATCTGCGTGCTTCCTCCCCTTCAATCACGTCCGCATAAATTCTCGAGAAACTGAGCCGACGCAGTTTCGAACTCGGTGCGGATAGGGAGAAGGAATCAGAGCTCCTAAAAGAGACTAAATGAAACTCGCCTTCGAGTGAATCGAAGGGAAACTAAACAAACTTAACCCAGCAATCAAACATGCAACGACGTGGAATCGAGATGGCCAGAAAAGAATGTTTTATGTTACATGGCTATAATTTAATGTATTATATTTGTATCTATCTCGTATAACAGTCGCCAAGAACTACATTGCAAATGGTGTTTTAAAATCACGTGCATCAAATTCCGCTTTTAAAAAGTACTGATAAATAGTGACCCACCTCTGGTTTCTTCACGAAATGACGTCTGAGGAACGCGCTCAGAAATTCCATACTGATGACGTTTCACTAACAAAATCTGGTTAGTGCTTCTGATTGGTTAGAAATTTGCTTCATCCAATCAGAGGCCATGTAGTTGTTACTTGCTAACTTTCCAGGAAAGGAAGAAATTTTATCTGTATAAAGAGTAGTAGGTGAAGCTGAGAGCGAAATTAGCCGTGGATATTTCCCAAAATGTTTGTAGGCTTTTAGTGTCAGTAACTCTGCCAGGATTGTTCATGTCTAAATTGAATCAAAGGGAAAGAATCAACGTGTTTATGCTACAATTAAAGATGAATGTCTTTTTTCCCTTTCCTCTTTGCACATACCATCTGCGGTTTACCGAGGAATGCCCTGCAGTCTAGCTCGTATAGTACAGGCCGGTGTCGCTTGCATTCTCCACTTTAGAAATGCAAATGTCATATGAATTCTGGTTGGAACCTTGATTTAACGAACCTCTATCAGTAACGAAGTCCTCGGTATAACGAACGATTTTCTTAGGCCCGGCCAAAATTACAGTAAAATATATGGAAGAGAACCTCGATGTAACGATATCCTTGTTATAACGAACACAATCCAGAAGCGCAATCATAAAATATACCTCGATATATAAACGAATAGGCTATAGTTTATAAGCCCCCGGCTTTTATATAGGCTTCCTTGCCTTTACCACATTTAATCTTGTAAATAACTTAGTTGGAATATTGTATATTATCTTTCATGTATTTCTGTATACTGTTGTTGTATTTCTGGTTAATGGCAAAATAAATGAATGAATGAATGAAATGAATGAATGAATAAATGTCAACATGTGATAAACGATGAAAGAGAAACAGGCCAACAAGGATAACATTTTTGTGTACAGTAGTTTTAAGCAGTTTTGTTTTCCTGTTCTTGAGTTTCTAGTGCCGTAGCTCCATACAGCTCGGTACTGAGACAAGAACAAATGTTATTACAGTAATTGTTCAGATCCGGGAATGCTGGGTTTTGTAAACATTGGCTACCCTTCCTTAACAACACCAACCCCGTTTAAATCCCAGAAAATCCTTTTTAATGACAGAGCTCTGGGTTCAAATTTACTCCAACCAAAAGGAGATTACCTTCATCTCACCTTCCAATATTAGAGCCAGTGTTGAAACCTGCCCTCCTAAGCTACACAATTTACTCTAATTCCCTCCCCCTTCCAACTCTGACATTTTATGGGCCTCCCCCCCGACCTTCGCAAGGTTCTGCGATACACGTATTTCTAGTTATTAGCAATACCTCGATATAACGAACATTTTAGTTGTTTTTTTTTTCGAAAATTCGTTAAATCGAGGTGTTCGATATAACGAACAAATTTCCCCAGTCCCTTGGCACTTCGTTTAATCGAGATTCCACTGTAGTTGTGGTCAAATGTCGTCATTGTGAAAATGGCCCATTGTATCTGGAATCGTTGCTGGGGACGCGCCGGTCAGCTATAGAC